TTGTCCCATAATGTCCCCCAGTGTCCCATGTTGTCCCATACTGTCCATACTGTCCCATGTTGTCCCATAATGTCCCCCAGTGTCCCATGTTGTCCCATACTGTCCATACTGTCCCATGTTGTCCCATAATGTCCCCCAGTGTCCCATGTTGTCCCATACTGTCCATACTGTCCCATGTTTTCCCTACAGGATACTTTACTAGAACTAAAACCCGTTTTATGTTCCAACATGTGGAACCAGACCAGTTATTCTGTTTCATGCAGTTCCTCCTTTATGCCACCAGGTGTCACCTTTCTGCCTGAACATCGTCTACCTGCAGCGCAGGCCTCCTGTTCTACGGAGTGACATTAGTGCCAAAGTTAAGACTATTGCCCTCCAGCAGCCACTTCCTAGTTGTGATCTAATGGAGGTTTCTAATAATAATGTAAGAACAAATTGTCACAGATTAATAAATGTAAATTCTAATAAACACTGAAAACATTTTAAATATCCAGAATAAAGTCTAGCGGACACTGAAGGACCCAGAAATCACCCTGGAGACTAAGTGATTTATTTTCATGATTTATGAAAATAATTTATTCAGCAGCAGGTTTACAGTCATGGAGTGTCAGTTTCTGAGGTTTTCCTTCCACGATGTTTTAAAGCATTTTAAAGGAGTGTAAAGGAGCAGATCCACTTCATTAAAGTGTAACTAACCAATAAAATAAACCTGTCAAAAAGTTATTTTGGCTTTTATGTTTATGTTTTTCTTGGATTCTGACATTTTTCTGTAAATTTGTTCATTGTTGCATTATTTTACCTAAACCGTCTCAGTGCTGCCCCCTCAGGTAGAACGCTGTCTAAGCAGTTTAATTCTGCTGTTTGTTTAAAACACTGCAGCTTTTCATCACTGATAGAAAACCACTCAGACACGCCTCCTGGTGGCGAATCAGGAGGTGGAACAAAAGCGTTTCCATGGCGACTGGCGAGGGTTGATAGATGGTGTTAGTCAGGTGAAAGTGTGATTATCAGCCACATGGACGCAGAGCAGAGCAGATCCACTGTTCTGACTGCAGACTGATGGCGGTCAGAAAGACTGCAGTGGATGGGAAGCTTGCTGTGGGCGGGGCTTCGTATGACTCAACGTGTTGTAGGCGGGGCTTAGCGGGGCTCAGCTTGCCGTGGGCGGGACTTAGTGTGATTTAGCTTGATGTTGGCGGGGCACATCAAGCTAAGCCCCGCCCTTTTGTCAACCAAGTGGGCGGGGCTTAGCGCTGCTCTGGTTGCTTCTTCATGCAGCTGCAGAATGCTGGTGCCATTAAAGTCCAATACCAGGATTCGTCAGGAACGTCGATAAATGTAGCGATAAAGTTCATCCGTTAGCAGCGCTTCTTCTCTCCTGGCTCCTTCCCCCCATTAACACACCAGGTCACGCCCCAATTTACTGACATCTTAACAGTTGTTGGGGGCGGAGCTAAGATTTAGGAGGGTTGGTTACATTTTACACAGTCTATGACATCATTATTGCATCATTCTGATTCTAAGGCTCTGATTGGTTCCCTGATTGACAGCTTCTCTTTCTTCAGCCAATCAGGACACTTCATTCTGAGCCACCGCCCTGGACTCCAGCAGCTCCTTGATGACATCATCACTGTAGGACAAGGTGTCCCTCAGCACCTGGACCGTGTGCTGACCAATCAGAGGAGGGGGCGTCGGCCCACTCAGGGGGAAGCTGCTGAAGCGGACAGCTGGACCTGAACACACACACACACACACATTCCCTTTAATCAATGCAAACTCTTAAAGATGTTTCAGCCTTAAAACAGGCAGCAGAATAAAAATCTGGCGTATCCTGAAGGTTTGCTGTAAATGCTGAATGTTCTGCACTTTCATCTCTTCTGCTAACATGAAATACTAGCCAGACTGCTGCACATTTTACAAGAAACCTTATAAAGTAATAAAGGTTGTTGAAAGAGAATCAGCTAGTTGGACTGTTTGGTTCGGCTGGATTCTCGTTCACTGTGATTCAGAATCCATATGAAATGTCCTAAAATTGATTTAAGAAACAGAAAATGAATCAAACCCACGACCTGACTCCATCAGTCAGACTGGAGGAGATCACCTGTCGATTAAATCAGAAATCATCAGGAATAATTGATCCTTTTGACTCTAAAATTGATTTTGAATCGAATCGTGAGACAGAATCATGTTTTAAACTTTTCTCCACTCAGTCTGAATGAAACGTTACAAACTGAACTGCTTCAGTAATGAACACATGAAGCTTCCAGTCAGAAATAAATGAGAATCTGCAGCAGAGAACAAGCTGTTTATTTCTGGACACTCAGACAATCAGCTGCTTTTAAAGATCAGCGCTAATGAGGCCAGATCTCACAGACCGGCAGGCCGGGGGTGTGTGTGTGGGGGGGCTTCACGTGCCGAGTGTGTGTGTTGTTTTCACCACATAACTAACTTATTATCCTGTTCACTAAGCCTCAACGTGAACATCACACAGTCTGCATGTGTGTGTGTGTGTGTGTGTGTGTGTTAGGGTGTCAGGGTGAATAATTAATGAATGATGTTACGTAATCGTTTTCATCACATTTCTGTCTTTTTTCTGGTTCTGATTCAAGATGGAGGAAGAGGAGGAAGGTTGATGAAGAGCGATGAAGGTCCAGACTTTTATTCTGAAGGAGCCAGAGGCTCCTGAGAAGGGCTAGCTAACGCTAACTTGTTATATGCGTAAGCTAAGCTAATGGACCGGCCTGGTGCTTGATGTCGAACTCTAAACGAAAATAAACCAGTTTATAAAAGCTAAACCAGACACTGAACCAGCAGATTATTACTGGTAATCTCAGATTAACCTGAGCAGCCAACAGCTCCAGATGATAAAGCTCAGATTTCAGAGGTCCGGTTCTTCCTGCTAAATGAAAACCCAAACTGACCAGAACCAGAACAAAGGAACGTCTCTGCCATGTTTGGACCTTCCTGGTTGTGTTGATGCTTCTGAACTGTGAGGAAACATTTTATCCTCGACCGGCCAAAACACAGCAGACGACGACTGACCGGGTCAGAACCGGATCAGAACCAGGTCCGACTACCAAACAGCCTGAAGTTTGTAGGAAATGATGGACAAACGAGGGGAAGCTGAGGCATGAAGGTGAGCCTGGGGTCAGAGGCGGGTCGGAACCGGCTCTGGTCCCGAGACGGATCGGACAGTAAATCGTGAGGACAAACGGTTTCCTAAGTGGAAACTCGCAGAGATCCATCAAACCGGTGTCCCAGCGGACCGGCTCAGCTGCCTGCTGTGGTTCCACTCACAAATATTTGTTTGTGTATCTGCGGTCGGGTCGGGTCGGGCCGAGCCAGGTCAGGGGGCTATCCCAGGGTTCCGAGTGGAGAGACTGGTTCTGAGAGCCCAACACCATCAGGACAACGCTTCCTGGAGAAATGTCCCACCATGATTTAGACAGAGAGAGGAATCTGGATCAGAACCCAGTCCAACAAGAACCAGAAAAAGAACCAGAAACGGAACCACAATTAGAACCACAACCGGAACCACAACCAGTAAGCTGGTGTAACAACAGAACATCAACAGAACCGGAGGTCACATGACCAAAGCACCTCAGGCTGCAGTGTGTGTGTGTGTGTGTGCATGTGTGTGTGCGTGTGTGTGCAGGTGTGTGCGTGTGTGTATGCATGCGTGTGTGTGTGTGTGTGTGTGCGCGTGTATGTATGTGTGTGTGTGCGTGTGTGTGTATGTGTGTGTGTGTGTGTGTGTGTGTGTGTGTGTGTGTGTGTGCGCTGACCCGGCACGGCGATGCGTCCCGCCGTCGGATGCTCCATCTCCTGGATCAGTCCGTTGTGTTTCACCTGTAAACAGACAGACAGGTTGGTTCTGGTTCTGTTCGGGATAATCAGGTCTGGATGTGTCAGGAAGTTAGACTTCCTGTTTGTCTGTTTGGGTTTTCAGAACTGATCTGGAGGTTTGGACACACTTTGGGTCCCAATGATGGACTTTCAACTCGACAGGAAGTCAACAGAACAAGAGGACAGACTTCAAAATAAAAGCATGTAAATAAGAATTCTTGACAGTCAAGAACAAAATGTCAGAGGTCAAAGTTCATCCACCTGAACATTTTAGAGCACCAAATGTTATCAAGGTTAGCAAAACGCTAAAATGAGCTCAGCGAATGAGAGCTGTAGCATTAGCGCAGTTAGCCTTTCAGACAGCAGGTCGACCACTGAGCGAGTCTGTAGAAAGGAAGCGCCAGCAGAACCGGACCTGACCCATTACATCCGCATAACGGCAGAGTCAGAGGCCTAGTCAAGAGGGACACTAGAGGGACACCAGATGGACATTAGAGGGACAATAGAGGGACACCAGTGGGACACTAGAGGGACACCAGAGGGACATTAGAGGGACACATCACTAGAGGGACATTAGAGTGACACTAGAGGGACATTAGAGGGACACCAGAGGGACATTAGAGGAAAACATCACTAGAGGGACATTAGAGGGACACATCATTAGAGGGACATTAGAGGGACACTAGAGGGAAACCAGAGGGACATCAGAGGGATGCGTCACTAGAGCAGTACTAGAGGGACATTAGAGGGACACATCACTATAGGGACATGCTAGGGACATTAGAGGGAC